AAACGCCCACGGCATCTTTGGCTTCGTCTTCCTCACGTTCATCGATCGGGTGAATATCGCCTGTGGCATCACTCCTTCTATACTCGCTGTATTGCGTAGGGGGTCGATACATTCTGGCGCTCAGACTAGAACGACCTGTAGGATCCCCGAGCAGACCAGTGCTTTCTGCGACTGCATCGCCTGTATCCTGCCAACTGAATGGCCGGCCAGATCCACTATGGCCCATCCAAGGGTAGTCACTTCTGACTTCGGCCTCCCTCATGGAGGGCTTGTGGATACTGCTCGCCATGAAAGGCTCCCCTTGACCCCAGAAGTGGGCTCTTTCTGCCCCCAAGGCCAGCTTGCGGAGCTCCTGATCTCGCACGTGGCGCTTTTGGCGCCTCTTCCAGAGGAAAAATAGGAGTATAGCAAGACCAGCAACCACAGGAATTCCCAGCCCAACACCAACCCCGACCCCAGTCTTCCATGTCTTTGACGAGCCAGACTGGGAGGACTCCTGTTGGCTAGCGATGGATTCAGGATTCCGGTAGGATGAGACCCATTCCTCAGAGGTGATATTATATAGATAGACCTGTGAGTTGGGCTGAGATTGCTCAGCTGAACGCTTTGACGAGGATGATGACGACTGCGGTATAGTATATCCGCCTGCCACCATCATCACACCACCAGGCAGCATGGTTGCCCCATGCCCATAAAGACCGCTCCCTCCTGCGGTCTCCGTATCTTCAGTTGACAGTATGTTCCAAGTCCAATCACCAGAACCTCCATACGTTTCTCCCAATCCCAGTATGACTAGCTGCGGTTGAGCAGCAATGCTTGTATTCCCCACCCAGCCCCCGTACACAATGACCTTGCTGCCATCTGGGGAAAGAACTGCTGTATGTCCCGATCTCGGCTCTACCGTGGCAACTTCCCTCACAGCAAGCTCGGTCTTGTAGGAGGTAGAAGTAATGTCGACTGTGACGAAGCTCCAGCTATTCTGAGGCAGTGAGAACACGGCAAGCTGCGACATATTGATGAATGCATCCTGGGTTTGGCCACCAATCAGGAGGAAATCCTGTTGCTGGCGCACCTCGCCGTTCGATGAATATGCATAAGTGGCTTGCAACGGAGTCACGGTAAAGCCGGCCTCTGCAATCGGGGGTGCGCGATTGCCGGTGGTGGATGCATCATAAGCATCAGTCTTGCCCGATCCGGATGGCTCAAGGACCACCATGGACTGAGAGTAGTTGGCTCTACCCATCCAATTTGCGTCTGAGGCATTCGAAAAGGGGCACATCCCGCCAAAAGCATAGACGGAGCTGTCGGAGGTGTTGGTGGAGGCATATGTGAACCCTGCTGAGAGATAGTTTGGTGCATCCACGTTGTCGCTTGACCCGCTTTCCTTCACAGAGAGCTTTTCCCATGACCCATCACCAATCGAGCTATTGTTGTCCGGTGTGAATTGCCACAGCTCACCCTTGTCCAAAGCTTCCTGGCAATCGCCTACATACATCTTAATCACTCCATGCTGATCGATAACAGGCACAAAGGCAGGGGACTGAGTGTTGAGTTGAAAGGGTAGTGGGTCCATCAAGATATTGTAACTCGGGCTTGTTGTGTCGATTTCGCCTGAAACATCCCAGGTGATAAACTCGGTGGAGGCATCTTGACTTGTACCGGTGGATTGCAGCAGGTAGGCAAACGACCCATTGCTAGTTGAAGAGTAGAAGAGTTGTGAGGGAGTGTATGGGACGGCTGTGGAAGCCGGGCTGGCGAAGAGCAGGAGAACAAGGAGTGTTGGCACCACGGGGGCGCCAACAGCCCGGTGCATTCCGTGTTTTCGCGAGAGGCATTCATCCATGGGTATTAGCAATAGCTTTAAGATGCGTCAACAAGAATGCGGCACTCTGAGACTGACTGCGATGCATCTAGCGCAACGTTCGATCCTTAGCTCGTTAGCTCAACTCAGCGAAGGCGCGTCTGGAGGCCAGACCGGCCGGCATGAGACGAAGCGCTAAGAGACGACTTGTATCAATTGGGGTGTCTCCTTGAAGGTTTGGTCTCCGGAGAATTGCAATATAAAGACAGAAGTAACCTTGAAACAGGCGATAGAGAGGGAGGAGTGGTGAAGTGAAGAGCTGCGCGAGGAGGCAGTAATATTGACAGGGGAAAGAAAGCGACAACAGGCTGCATCTCAATTACGGCCGATCGGACCCGGTTCTAGATGATCTCTAATCTCTAGAGGCGCCGGAAGAAAGATTTGATTAAAGCCATCGTCATCGCTGGCGGGCCCATAGCAAGCTTTGTCCAGTCTGAAGTGGAGGCCTGGAATTACTGAGGGGCTGGGGATGGAGGATTGAAGCGTCAACACGGGCGGTTGCACTGGCAACTGGGAGGGGCGAGAGAGAGCACTGCATGGAAGTCCCAAGGAGGGGGACGCATGAGCATTGTGGTGCAAAGATCCCTGTTAGATAGATTAGTTTGATGAGGTTGGTGATGATTGTTTGTTGTTGGGTCGGGCAATTTTCGTTTTTGTCTTCATTCTGTACTCCGTATGTAGATAATTATATTGACAGGTGCCAGTTTTGGCCTTATCGATAGTATGAATGATGGCATGCAGAATAAGTGAGACCGACCATGTGGAGAAAAGTGAAACAAGGGCGATCCTCTAAGAGATGTCACGTAGTTAGTTCAAACGGCCTACAGGGAAACTATGAGAAGATGTGTGACAGCTCATAGTAGTAGTCGATGATGATACTGGTCTCTGTATTCATCTTCTTGTATATGCTAACTATGCTACTATTTTGCACGTTTGGTGAGTTGCGATGATTGAGATTTGTTGATGGTTGATTGTTGATATTGCAAAGTGGGGCCACCCAAGCAGGTAAACTGAAGGAAGCTCAATATGGGTTGGCCTGCCAACTACCAGCCATCAACAACATTTTCTCGCCCATTCATTTAATGACTATTACCATAACAACATCATCATCATTTTCCTTTATGTGAAAATCAAGGTCGTGTTCTTTCATGTGAAACCATGCCCACTTCCTCTGCCTCATTCCCAGCCTGACCCAAGAGTACTTACTCAAAGATATCCACTACCCAGAATAGTATACCTACTAGATACTTTGTAGATATGTACATACGCCTTACCCGGTCTCATCCTCGTGGGGCTCCTGCGGGGCTGCATCTTCACCACGAACGAGTCAAAAGAGTCTCGGAAGAAGCAAAAGAATCCCACTTCCAACTAATTTACCGCCTTACTTGAAGTTTTCTGGAAAGGCCAAGGAGCCACTACCACATCAAGGTTCGGTGAAGTTGGCCTGACCTGACTCAACTTCCGGATGGAGGTTGGTGCTGATGCTCGTACTGCTGCTGCGAGATCTATTTGGCCACTGTGAGTCTGTGGCGCTCAGTGGCCAGTCAACATTGGATCTACTTACTGGATCGTCTTTGGTCATCCTTACGCCCAGGCGCCCTCTCACTGGTCGGAATCATCAACGTTGTTTGATCTTCGGCCGGACTGACCAGCCCTTCGACATAGTCAGGCTGATCTCCGTGGCGAGATCCGCAACCCGACTATCCATTACAGCTGGTCCACGTCCTCTCATACCACAGCCTTCTTGACTTCAATACGCGTAAGATCCTCATCTACGGACTGAACATCCCGCAAATCTCCGTAGGCCCGCTCGGGCCGCGGTCTGATATGCAACCGCTTCCAGGCAGCCTCACCAGTGGATCACTAACCATAACTCATCTGCGACGGACGTAAAGCAAACAAACATATCGGAAAAGCTCAAAGGTGGCGACGTTGATCATGATGGGCCAATCGAATAGTGGCCCAGCCCACCCCCTTGGTGCGGGTTGATGTTGATGTTAATGTTGGCGATCAGCTACATTCCTTCTTCCCCCCGGCCGTGACAGTTCGCCTGCATGATTAATGCGATGATTTGTTTCCTCAAAAACCAATAGCAATACATGTAAACCAAGCCAAGACAAGGGTATCTCGGAAACACTCGGTTCGGGCTTGGGGGACGAGAAAGTCTATTACAACTCGGGATTGCATGTAGCCATCTGACCTCGTAGCCAAACTTCATGGGTCCGAGCCAGAGGTATGCTCCCGAGCTCCTGCGTGGAACAACATATCTGCTTGGACGCCACAGGGAACGCCAAGGTAAATAACCTACTAAGTGTCTGCATTTTGCTGGTTCGGTAGCCTCATGATGGGGGGCAGCGCAGCAAGCTACCTGTTAGGTTATATTCAGATGGGGAGCATTATCCGATCACCTGAGAACTTGCGGTGAAACATATACCTATGGACGGTATTTGGTGTCCGGGGTTTGGATCTTTGACCTCCTCGACTCGATAACGTCTTGTATGCCGTGTGGTTCACTGTATCTCTCGCAAACCTGACCGAACATAAGCACAGGGGGTGGCAGCTGGCTATACTCGGCCTTCACAACACCAACATGCTACTGGCTATATGCACACTTGCTTGGATGATGGACTGGCCCTTATATGTACAGCTTGGCTGTATGATACGTATCTAGGCAGCACTTCATATGTACCTGCTTGACAGACATTTAGCTACCGCCTCTGCTGCATATGCCGGTTCGAATGTGCATTAGAATCAATCTAGCCAATCAGATTGCCTGTGATGTGTGCATGAGTATATCAGGGTAGGACCATACATCAATCTCAATCGACTACTTTTTTATCAGCTCATTGTGGCTTGCATCTGTGTCGCTACATGTCTGAGCGATTGGTACCATGGAACGACCTGAACGCGATCTATCCATTGGCGTTATCCGGGTAAAGTACTTCCCAATGTTGAGATATTTCCCAGCAGCCATGCATACTCCCTGTCGCAGAGTTTTTGCACTAACACCCCCATCCTCGTCTAAACTTGGCCAGGCTTCAAGCAAACAAAGCATGTGGTATGGAACTCACCGGGCCATACACCACCTAAAAAAGTAGCACGGATCTGCGCGACAAGGCATCAGGACACCTGGTCCAACATGACCTCCCAATTGGCAAGCACCGGACGGGTGACCGACGTATCCGGAGTATGGCGCGCTGTCATATGTAGACTGATTGCGACTTCGGCTCAATTCTCCAGAGGCTCGAAATGGGATCAGGTAGCTAGTTAGCTAGGTCTTCATGTCACCGTCACCTCCGGTTAATTGATCCCCGTCGAGCTGGATGCTTATCAAGAGCGCCATGAACATATTGACCCCTGAGTCATCTACAGTAATGCCACACAGCACAGGGCTTGTGATGTCCTACTAGCCAACTGCGATACATCTTCCACGAATGGCGCAATCGATTTAATGATTCGAAAACGCCACAATCATCTCACTCACTACGGCTAGATAGTGGTTGCAGCACTATTGAAACAAACCCTGCTCGCCGTCCCAACTCCTCCTGCTGCATACTGCATGATGCCCGAGGTATGAACAAATTTACATATACATCGTCTACATACATCATCATACCAGATGCAGTTCAATCTTATCAATTACCTATCCGGGTAATAGGCACGGCTGATACCGTGCCACCACATCATTATCTACCACGGGGAATTCTATAACACTGGCTTGGTATAGGTGACCAGGTAGAGTTTCACTCACCCGCGCCCCATGTCTCATAGTACTATGTTGAAGTAGATGCAAGTCTCGTAACTATTTTAGTTCCCTAGGGTTCTGCCACGGATTACCTGGTTTGGTGGTATGCAGGGAGAGAAGGGTCGGAGAGTGAGTTGCTCACTCCGTATCTACTTGAGTCTAGAGTGTCCCAGTAATAACATACTAGAGAGTATGTGCGGTAGAGGGGTAGAAGCATGGTGAATGGTGAGAATATTACTGCTAGTCAGGATTATCGCAAGTGGGATACTCCGCGACTTGTACAACACTACCACTTTTACCCTGCTATAGTCCTGTCCTATCTAACTGCCAGGGTAGGTAGGTAGGGTATACTAATCATGACCAACTCCATACCACAGCAAAGTATAACCCGACCCCCTTCTTCCCACTAATCACTCATCTACACAACATACCAGAGACATATGTACTCGATCATCTGCAAGCCAAGCCAAGCCGAGCCAACCACCCAATCAACCAACCAACCAACCAACATCCCATAAATTCCATACTTACAAAGCAAAGTAGCCTGATAAATAACCATCAATAAATTACCTACTCAACCAAGTCGTATACTTGGCAAGCCTCTAGTATCCATACCGTAATCAAACATAACATACAACATTACTCATGTTCTTGGCTTTCCATAAACATACATCCGACATCCGGCTATGCCTACCCAGCATCTCTCCTCTAAATGAGAGGGGAAGAAGACGCCCTAAAAAGCTTGGTAGCGGGTGCGCCAGCATCCAGTCCAGTCATTGTTGCTGATAACCTCGGCGAGGCTCGGATATGCATGTTTCTCGATTAGGAATTAGGGATGGGTAATGGGACTACACTACTGAACTTACTGTCTCTTCTTCTTGTCTAAGTAGGTAGGGGATGCGGCATGGGGTGGGGTTAGGCTGGTTTGGATGGATTTGATGTGGAAGGTGAGGGGGGGGGGGGACACTAATTTGATTTTTGAGTTGGGTCAGGACGGTATGAGTGAGAAGGATGTACAGAGATGATATGCTACATGAAGTTATATATAGTTGTATGTGGATGAAAAAAAAAAAAAGACTATGGCGTTGAGTGTGGATGAAGGGGAAAAAAAAAGTAGGAAGAAAAAAATTTATTTATTCGTATTGGCGCTGCCCGGAATCGAACCGGGGCTGGCACGGCCACAACGTGACGTCATACCACTAGACCACAGCACCTGTTGTTGTGGTAGAAGCACCGAGTATTTGGTATATAACCTACCTATCTTATCTTTTGTGTTTACTAGGCTAGTGGTTAGTGTGAGCAGAGGGGTGAGTAGATGTTAGCATGGCAATATACTACTATTTTTGCGTTAGTTGTAGCATTGTAATCTTGGATTATTCGATTTGCATTTACTCTCACCCTGTTCTCAGTCTACTGGCGTGTGTACTATCTTTTATGTATACTCTTCTTATCTTTTCCTAGGGCTTTATCTTGATGTCTGGACACCGGATATATATCTCCATGTTCGGATTACAATTCGGCAGTATGATGAAACCATGGCATACGTACTATGTCTGCTACCCCTCACGTATCCCCCGATCACACACAGGGTGCCAACCGGCTAACCCAATTGCGAGGGCTTGATCAATGGCCGGCATAGTATGAAACAATGCACCTGGGCGTCTAGTCCAACCCCAGAGGATAACGACCTATACAGCCGAGCACGAGAACAGCTCCTGCAATCAAGGAACCCCCTCAAAAGACACAAATGAAAGTCCAAGCAACACACGTTGCAGCCACTACGAGGGGAATATTGGGAACATACTAGAAAAAGACGCCGCGTAGATACGGCAAGTACTAGCCCCGTAACGAATCAAACCAGACGCACACCAACCAATTCAGTAAGTAGACATGCGAGACCTCGTACTATCACCAAGCTAGTTGATTATGACACTGGAGATCCCTGGGGTAGACTTCGATCCGCGCACCCACCAGCCATGAGATCGACGGAGCAGTACATAGATTTCATGCGTCTCTATACCCCCCACGGCAGCGCAAATGCCCACAGCAGCGGCCTCAGAACCCAGTACGGGCCGAGCTGTCAAAGCAAAGAGCCTTGTACCCCGCGCGCAATCGAAGTCGAGGTCTGGGGAACGGGCGAACGGGCCAACACCTGCACCTCGTCTCCACCAAGATCAATAAACGAGCGATACGGAGCGCAAAGCCCATAACCCACGAGGCATGGCACCAGACAGGATCAGAGTGGGAGATGTACCCCTGTCGCGGGATGTAGCGCGAACATTGCTCCCGCCGTCCAAAGTAGTCACTATTGAACTAGTCTATTCCTTCCCAGCCAGTGGCCCTCTAGCCACTTGGCAATGGTTGAACCAGACAACAGCGTCCCACTAGATAGTAGGTGAATGCAGACCAATGTGCTGGTCTAGTGCACAAGGAGTGTCAAAGTGCCTATTCAAGCACTGGTTGATGAAGGGAACGCGGTAGGCCACCGACTGCACCGGATATACCAAAGTATGCGGAAGGCAACCCTCATAAGGCGGCGTGCATTGCGTATATGACATGCCAAGAAACGGCGTGTCTATCTTGATCCGAGAAATATTCGCGCCGTGCTCCTTGAGACACCGAGAGAAACATTCAGGGGCGTCCTACGTGTGGCTCGCCAGCGTTGGGCTCCGATGACGTCGGTACGGGCCAGTGAGCGAATGGAATCAGAGGAGCCCGGTGAGAATGCAAGAATGCAGATGCATGCCCGCACTGCAGCCCGCCATCCAATGAAACGCTTCCGAAGATCGCATACTAGGTCACTCTGAGACCAGTCTAAGCTGAGGTATCCAGAGAGAGTTGTATCGCCATGCGTCCAGTGGTCGGCCCAAGCATTCCCCGCCTCTCGTGAAAGCCAGTTTCCGGGAGAGCGCTTGCAGGCTAAAAGTGTCACTATACTGCCCCCAAGTGCAAGAGAGGTTCCTCTAGTAGACCATTAGGGATCTTAATTAAGGAAGCAAGTTACACTCATTTCAGTAAGAATGGCATGGCTTCCATGCCAAAAGCAGGTGGAAAAGACGGATTGCCGCTAAAGCAGCCACTCCTCGTGGGGACGAGTCAGGCTGCTATGCATGAGCAAATCAGAGGTAGGAAACTCATTCGACGGCCTCCCGTCTCTGATGGGCTAGTGAACTTCTATTCGCAAGATGGTTGGGAATTCTCCTGACCGGAACTGGGCCACCTTTGAGCATGGCACCAATGGCCGTGCGCCCGTCTTCAAGCCGTTTTGTATACAGGTGAACCCTGGGATGGATAACCAGTCGTTTCAGATCCAGGGATGGTCGCCAGGTATACCCAAGCTAGAAGACCCATCGAGGCCTTGCTCAAGGTGGAGCGACCGGTGCTTCATGTATTGATGGAAATTCTATCGAGAGCTCCCCACCGTTCTTCCACGAGTTTCTCTGCGTATGTCGGCCTCGCCTCCTGCCTCATCAGGAAAGCACCCAACATTGACATCTCCAGGAGTGTTCGTGCGGCTGGTGGTTAGACTGGACTCGGGGAGAACACAGACCTCCTTGTCCAAGCTCTCCGCGCGGAGCTAAAGGAGTAGGCCCCGAGAGCTTATTGGAGGGTGAGGCCGCAGTCAAACATTATCTACATACAGTAGGCTGAACACCGGTGGCCTATAAGGGCTCAGATGGGTGCCAGGGAAGCAGGGTCGCTCCGAAATCCGTCGATCCAAATTACATGGTGGTCAGTGCCCTCTTGATCACTACTGTATCATGACGCTCAGCTTTTTGAGAATTGACCCAGGGAGAGAGCGTGGTTAGAGACTTGGAAGATACTAGAACGGACGACTATGGATGGGGCGAAAGAGAGTTGGTGATAGACATTATTGGACCCACGGAACAAGCAGATCCAGATCGATACCGGTCGCGCTGGCCAGCCAGACTGACAGGTGTCAGTGACGACATACACAATTCCATTACAATCCGGGTCTAACTGATTGTTTCGATATATCGATCATATTTTGTAGGGGCTGATGATGGACGTATAGACCGAGTCGCAGTCCTGTAGGCATTGGCGAACCCGTATTCAGGTTGGGTGGCACGAAGGATCCGTTCAGGCACGACGAACAGTTGCGATAGGATGACGGGAAGAGCAAGGGGCGGAGAAGGGCCAATGACCCGTTGACAGAATGGCCGGAGAAATAGTCCTCTACGTAAGACAAGATAGAGAGAACTGACGCCACAGGCTAAAAAAGTATTTTCTTACCTTTTTCTTTTTCTTTTTTTTTTTTTTTGCGTTTACTCTCGAAACTCTATTTTCTTCGTATATTATAAAACTTTCTTTGTCTCTTAAGTACTAGATCTATCAAACAGTTTAGTTAATAGAAGTCTAGAAGGCATAGTTATATAATCCAAGTACTAGTACCTCATGCAGTCAAGATTAGGGATGGTCAATGGGCTCATGAATGGTCGACACGCGTATTGAGTTCTCATACTAACAGATGAACCAAGCTAAAGTGGAATTCAGCCTAAGATGCAGCATCCATTTTGCCCCCCGATGGAGAATACTTTAGATAGCTAAAGAGGATCCTCTCCCGTTACCGGTCAGGACGCTAAAGTCCGTAGCCTACGGGAGTGGTGCCCATGGGCTTGGAGGAGGTCCCAACCACCGCCAAGGAGGGCCGGATGGCCGGCCGAGATGGCCTTGTTCAAAGCATTCACTGGCTAGCAATGTTCTTATCGTCCACCACTATAGCTACCCACAATCAACTAGGGAAATACCCAAAAAAAAGAAAAAAGAAATAAAGATCAATGAAATGGACATCTGATTATCTATTAGATTATCTTCCCGGGAAGCACTAGGGGATTGTATCGGACTGAATCGCATTATGATGATGCTCGTGCACAACGGGAAGAGGGACTTCAACCTCCCCACCGACCGGCTATTTGGTGATGGATCCAGAATAATCTAGGTACGTTTCCATAGGTCCTCCTTCGACGGGCAGGTCGGTACGCCGTACGGAGTATGGTACCTAATATACTGCTGTATTCTGGTTTCACACCACCCGTCATTATTTAGTATCATCAATCCCTCCTAGACGGGAGTTGCCAAGTTGTTTTCCAACCAGTTCTAACTAGGTATTATTGGGGTATTGTAAATCAATTTACCAGTCACCACTGGTAAGTACTGCAGTTTGCGCTGTGCTATTCCATCTTTTGCTACGTATTCATTCGGTCCCCTCCTCCCCTCTCTCTCACTTAGAGTCTCTCAATCTCTCTCTCCCTCTTTCTTTCCCCCCACCCCCAAAAGGCAAGCCGCCTGACAAAAGCCTGACTGACCCTTTCTGCCACCACCGCCGTGAACCACCACCTCCATCTGCCGTTCTTCCCCATTATTCATTACTCACGATCCGCCATCACAGCGGTTCCTCTCCTCCCTCTCCCTCTCCCTCGTCCTGTCTTTCTACACTTTCTCCCTCAACTCTCTCCATCCCCGTCCCTTTTCCCTCTTCTAAACACCACCCATAACCTCCCCTTAATTCCTCTTCCTCCCCCCTCCTCTTTCTTTCCCTCTTCCACTTCGTTCCACTTTTCTCTTCTTCATTAAACCTTCCAATACTTACGGATACCTACCCCTCCTTTTTCACCTTCTCCCTATACCATTTTTTTTTTCTTTTCTTTTCTTCTAATTCCTTTCATCGCCAGTATAATTATTTGCACTTTCTTTCCTTCTTGTCTATTCCCTATCAACTTCGGACGGCTCCCCCTTGCTATATAACGGTTATTACACCGTCGTGTCTTTTGTTACTATACTTAGACACTCTCTTGGCTTCTGTCCTGCCCTATTTTAAAGGGTCTCTTCTCCGACCGATCTGCGAACATCTCCGGCTCAACCTCGTTCCACCCTCACGTCTCCGAGCGCCCCAATCGATCATCAGCTGCATCCTGGCGCTGTAGCAGTTCGGTCGCTCGGAGTCTCCGGTCTCGTTATCGCCGTTGTCCGGTACACGGTTTATCCCCCAGGTCACTCTGCATGCCTGTTTATACGCCTTTCCGAGTCGAGCTCCGAGAGTAATGCCGGTCCACTCGTGCGCATCCACCGAGCTTCACGTCAGCTCGCCCTGAATTAAGCGGTTTATATGGGAAGATCAACCGGACCGGAGAAGGAAATATATTGTACGGACGGGGCCATCAGACGGAACCCCAGGAAATAAGGCCTAGGAAGGGGAGGATGCCCAGTTGTAACTCGGAAAGAGTTCGCTGATTCAAAGACATGAAAATGGACCGTCCGTCTTCAGTTCCCGGTCTGGAAGAGCCCGTCATTCTGGCTGTCCGGAATGGCCAGAACTCAGACCATGTTCGCAGGCGGAGTTCGGACAAGTCCATCGAGGATTCTTCGTTACCGGCACCGATGGAGGCAGATATCAAGCAGACTGTCACCAAGCCACCGAATGCGAAGCTTCCCTTGCAGGGCGATTTCTCAGATGGGCAGACATCTCTTCGACACCCGTTTCCCCATCTCTACCATTCATCCAGTACATCCAGGTCACCCTCCACTCGTACTTCTTCGAGCTCGCTTCAGGCATTGAACGAGGACACCGTCGTCGATGCGCGGTCGGATCATAGCGCTATCGGCCGGAGCTCCATCTCTTCTCGGAGGGTCGCCCACATGGGCCCCTCTGAGACTCATTCCGCAGACTATCCCGTTTATCCCGACCAATCCTACGCCGTCCTTCAGTCCCAAATCCACCCCACCTACCAACCCCCGTTCCTACGCACCCGAAGCTCTTACCCGTCCCGGACTGAGGCGGCCAAGTTTGCTCCGTCGCGTGCATCACGCACGGCGGGCAACACCCCCCTCTCCAGCCCGGGCCTATTTTCCATTAGAAGTCCTCGCTCGACGCCTCCATTCGCGTCCGACGACGAAGGTCGCATCAGCAGCCCCTATCTCCATCCCACCCATCTTCAGCCCCCCAAAGAGTAAGTCCGACGTGCCACCGAGTGCACTAACATCCTTTTTCCTGCCAAAAAAGCATTCGACTGTTGACTGACCATCTTGATGATAGGACCCATACCGCTGAGGTGGATCGAGATCTTGTGACCGGAAACAAGCTCATCAATCAGTATGAGATCCTTGAGGAGCTCGGGCGCGGTGAACATGGAAAGGTGAAGCTCGGCCGCCATGTTACGACGCGACAAAAGGTTGCAATCAAGATCGTTCAGCGTTATTCAAAGCGTCGCCGCCTCGGAAAACTCGGTAACCCTGAGGATAAGGTCAAGAAAGAGGTTGCCATCCTGAAAAAGGCAAGGCACCCTAACGTCGTCAGTCTGTTAGAAGTCATCGATGATCCGAATCGCCAAAAGGTCTATATAGTCCTCGAGTATGTGGAGAACGGAGAAATCATCTGGCGCAAGCGTGGGCTGCGAGAGATCGTCCACGTCGATAAGCGCCGGCTGGAGCGTGAGAAGGCGGGCATTCCCGATACCCCGTCTTTCATGGAAGAAAGTCAACAGTACGTAAGGACAGCCCAGCACCTTCGTCGGCAGCGCGAGAAGGCACGTGAACGGCGCCAAGCACAGGCGGCATATGCACAAGAAGCTCCGATCCCTGCCTGGAGTCTGGAGCATGGTGCGGAGTCAGACGAAGATGAGGATCTGGGGGGCGAGCCTATGGTTGCGCGTGTTCCCAGCCGGACTATGGTGAGCACCGATGATGCCCACTCCTCTCCCAGTCAGTCTTATGTGTCGGGTCAGGAGTCGGCACTGGCTGCAGTAGAAGGCAGCATGTACGGCGCCTATGCAGACTACCCATTCGAAAGACGATTCAGCACCGCATCAAGCAGCTTCGGCTATGCACCTTCCGAGCCGGAGTGGTTCACCGACGATGACGACATGTCCTTTGTGCCTTGCTTGACCTTCAACGAAGCGCGCAATGCCTTTCGCGATTCGTTGCTAGGTTTGGAATATCTTCACTACCAAGGCATCATCCATCGCGACATTAAACCCGCAAATCTTCTGGTCACCAGCAACTATCGTGTGAAAATCTCAGATTTTGGTGTCTCGTACTTGGGACGCCCCATTCGAGACGAGGAAGAGGAGCAGGTGGAGGAGACGGATGCCACCGAGTTGGATGATGCTCGCGAGCTGTCTAAGACGGTCGGGACACCGGCTTTCTATGCCCCTGAGTTGTGCTATACAGGCGATGATTTCGTGGACGTGCTCGGCGCCGCCCCTCGGATCACCGGCGCTATTGATGTTTGGTCTCTGGGTGTTACCCTCTACGGCATGATCTTCGGGCGCCTACCATTCGTTTCCGATGACGAATACAGCATGTTCCAGACTATTGTGCGGAAGGAAGTCTTCATTCCCCGAAAGCGTTTACAGCCCGTGGAAGACAATCCCGACACCGTCAGTCAGTGGCCTCGCTACAGTGACGGCAGCAAACGGATGGAAGACGAGCTGGTGTACGAGGACATTGACGACGAATTGTATGATCTGCTAAAGCGGCTGCTGACCAAGGATCCGGTTAAACGGATCACCGTGAAGGAGATCAAACACCATCCTTGGGTTCTGCATGGCCTTCCTAACCCCAGAGCATGGGTGGAAGAGACGGACCCGGGATACCAAAGCAAAGGAAAAAGAATCGAAGTATCCACCGAAGAAGTGACTAGTGCTGTCAGCAAAGTACCATTCATTCAGCGTGTGCGATCCAACGTTGCTAAGTGGTCTAACTATCTGACTGGAAGGTCGAAAGAGAAGGATGGTCGCAAGCGGACCCCTAGCAATTCTCCTTCGGTCGAGTCATCGTCAACTACAAGCAGCACTGCCTTTGGAAAGTACCTTTGGGATAATCGGCGGCACAGCCTAAGGGGGGATGAAGAATTTCCACGCTCTCTCCGCTTACCCAGGGAAGGCGAGCATCCGCTTTCGCAGAGTGTCACTGCAAGTCCTGTGGGCCGAGAAGATCAGCCGTCTTACTTCGCTTCGTCCGATTCCATGCCAGTGCAGGATCAATCTACGCGCCCAGATCCTCCCGAGCGCACAACATCCACATTGTCTACTGCCGAATCTGCCAAGACCGTGAAACCATCGGACCACAAAAGAGTATCAGTACCCCAGCGTGCTGGTACCCCCGTCCGTGTGGAACCGTCTGGGACCACAAACATTGGTGGCCTTTTTGGTGGCGCGAGCCGTCGGCTTGCAAGAGGCCTGCAACCTGGGGATTGGCGGTCCGATCGGTCTGTCTCAGGTGAGACCGCGTCTTTGGACGGTGACCGCCACTCGGAGCCCAGCTTGGCTTTGAGTGTTGCCTCTGCTGTTGGTCAAATGCAGAATTGCAACTTGTTGTCGAACGAGGAGCCGCTCTTGACTCCTCCCGATGGCTCCCTTGGTAGAACATCCAGCCATCGGCGAAACCGATCCCACCAGCTTCCAGGCAAGCATTCCGCCGAGCCATTCCACCTAACCAAGGAGGCCTTGTTACGGAAGAGGAGGAGCGATCTCGGGCCCGTTGGTGATGCAGACAGCAATCGTGGCGACAGTGAGCCATGCTCCGGTGACTACACGGGCCTGCGGACTGAGAATCACCCGCAAGTCTCAGACTCGTCGAATGACCAGTCCTCTGGAGATCCTCTCCCAGGAGGGCTGACAACGTCGCCGCCATCGGCAGCTACAATATCCTCTTCGTCAATTGACGAGTATACTAGCGGCATGTCCCAGAGCACTTCTCACCCCAGCATCCCGTCTGTGGTGTCAGGAGCGTCGTCTCTCTCTGGTGAGAGTGGCCTCAAGGAGAAGGATACTGAATCAGCCGTTCAGGTTCCTTCGATTCTTCGCACTGGTGAAACAGTCAAAGCCCGGCATCCCTGTCCTCCACGACCTGCAGAAGATGACGAGTGTCGCTACTACTGCGATGACGAAGAAGAGTCTGGTGACGACTCAGAAGATGAAGGACTTGTCATCGGCAAGAAGAGGGCAACCCCTCAGAAGCCGATCATCCGCCCTGGACAGTCGAAGTCATGATAACAATACACACATGTCCTTTCCGGGGTCTTTCGTCGTCATATAAGCAAGGGACATCAAAAGTTTCTTTCACCGTTACATGATGTTTGCATTTGCTTCTCCTTTACCGATCATGACGCTACTACCATCATATTATGTCTGACTTTTTCTGGGTGATCACGCGGCCTTGTCCAATCACCATGATCATTATCTTGTTGGAGTTTAATTTCTGCGTGTATATCATTTATTCAATCAGTGGGGGGATATTTTCCTTTTCTATTCGTTTCGCTTCTTCCCCCTCCACCTTCTTTTCTTCTTTCTGGCTGGTTGCGTCCCTTTTGCTGGCATACAGGAAACTTCCCTAGGGTTCCACATCTGTTGAGACACAGATACATTGCTTGTACATATATTTGCATTGGCGGCACGTTCATATTCGGTCCTCTTGATTCGGTTATCTTCATCCATTGGCTTGCATTCGGATGATGCTGGGGTTCATTCTGCGTCTATATATACTGGTCTGTTTGCTGCATTGGGCCTGGGGTCTGTGATTGCGTGTATGTAATGATGCTTGGAGGAAGGGTCAGGCTATACAATGTACCTGCCTTTCCCCTTTTTCTTTTTCTGGGCTTTGGATAGCTGGAGGCAGCGGGAGTAGGATTTTGCTTTGTGGAAGGGTTGCCATGGAAGGACACGATGTTGATGACCAAGTCGCGAGAGATGATGAAGAGAACAACAATATACACACAGAGAGAGAGAGACTCACACGTTCACGATCCACTTGGGTGCGCCAGTGCCTTTCTGCCGCACATGGGAAAAGCGGGTCACCGTTTAGCCTAGTGTGCCGATACTTTCTATACCGGGGGAAGCCGGATGAAAGGTGAAACCGGCCAAGCAGAACCACGAGTCCGTAGAAGCTTAGGGAGGAGGTCTGAGAGCGTCTCCTAAACTAGATTTGGAGTACACCGAGAAGTCGTCGTATGTGCCCATGTGGCTTGCAGGGAGTCTGGGCGACCATCTGACCTTGGAAGATGTGGGTTTACCGCAAGTTGAATCCGACTTCTCGCCTAAGTATGGAGACAGGGAGCCCACGGTACAGATGCTGAATGGGCTCGGGCGTGCCACCGGCCGATCTGCACAGACGGTGTCATGTTCCTCCACCAATGGCTCGGCAGATTGGAAACACTTGGTGTCTCGCGATGCATGACCTGACGCTGACTGCCGTCCTGCATTGATTAAATCGTGGAGAACTCCGGTGGTGTTTAATCTATATGGGCAGACGTTATCCTTTGCCTTCTCCGTGTCATTTGTAGGACGGACCCGGTGGACAATGAATGTCTCAAAGCGGCCAGTCGACGACGTCTTTTAAAAGGGGCTTTGATGCCGGGATTGACTGACTCGTACTGCTGGATCCAACCGTGAGAGTGATAACCGGGCTCATTACAGGCGAGCTTCGATGACAGCCATGATGATCTACCCTCTACTTCTTTCTGCATTGCCTCTGCTCAGCAGCGCCGCGCTGACCTACCGCGGGGCGGATATCTCCTCCCTTTTGATCGAGGAAGATGCCGGCATCAGCTATAAGAACTTGAATGGCGAGACCCAAGCATTGGAGGATATTCTGGTCAACAATGGTGTCAACTCGATCCGACAGAGGGTGTGGGTCGATCCCAGCGATGGTTCGTACGATCTCGACTATAACCTCAAGCTGGCCAAGCGTGTTCAGGCCGCGGGTATGAGCATCTACTTGGATCTGCATCTCAGTGATACGTGGGCAGACCCCAGTGATCAGGTCAGTCCTACTGCTGAAGGGAAAGACTACACAGGAAAAGGAGTTGGAACACTGATAAAAGGGCTGTATATAGACTACCCCTACCGGTTGGTCGACTACGGACATCGACACACTCACCTGGCAGCTATACAACTACACGCTCGAAGTCTGCAACACCTTCGCGGAGAATGACATTGACATCGAGATTGTCTCCATTGGCAACGAGATCAGCAGCGGACTTCTTTGGCCACTGGGCAAGACCAGTAACTATGACAACATCGCGAAGCTTCTGCACTCCGGAGCCTGGGGAGTGAAGGACTCCGACCTGACCACGACCCCGAAGATTATGATCCACCTGGACAATGGATGGGACTGGGACGAGCAGGAATACTTTTACGAGACCGTCCTGGCTACGGGGTCACTGCTCTCCACGGATTTCGACCTCATGGGAGTCTCGTACTATCCATTCTACAGCTCGGAAGCAACCTTGTCGGCGCTCAAGACCAGCCTTACGAACATGCAATCAAACTACGATAAGTCCGTGGTGGTGGTGGAGACGAACTGGCCCGTGTCGTGCCCGGACCCTGAGTATTCATTTCCGTCGGATCTCACCTCGATCCCCTTTTCGGCTGCAGGCCAGGAGGAGTTCCTGGAGAAGCTGGCAGAAGTGGTAGAGGGCGTCACGGATGGACTGGGCATTTATTACTGGGAACCGGCATGGATCGACAATGCCGCCCTGGGATCCAGCTGCGCGGATAACCTGATGGTGGATGTTAACACGGATGAGGTGTTGGAGAGTGTCACTGTGTTTGAGGACCTGTGATTTTCCTCGCTTTCCTGTTTGAGAGCACCAGGATGATGCATCTCAGCTATTGTGTATTGTAATAAGTAGTGATGTTCCAGCGTATGTGTGTGTGTGTGTGTGACTAGTAGTATATGTTCGTTAATAATTGATCAACAATCAGTCAGTTACTCAATTCTACTCCCTGCATCACTTGTACAGTAGAGACAAGTTTCAGAACAAGACAAATAAACAAAACTAGACAGAAAGCACACCTATTTGGGAAATGTCTGATGTAGATCCCATCACTACCGGGCCGCGCGCGCACAAACACCCACGCACCCACACACCGAAATGATGAAGCCTGCGGTTGAACCGTGGACCTGCAGATTGAGGGGGGCAGTAGACCGGGTGGCTGTGCAAACCAGCGATTCAGTTGGGATCAGCGGTGTTTCAAGCTGCAAATGGCATGGGTTGGCCTGCCTATGGATCTATCTAAATCAGGGCCAGGAAATTTAAACCCTGACAGCTTGTCAACAGGAGAGATAGAGAATGTGTGTGTTGTGTGTGTGTGTGCGCAACCGAGATAGGGGGAGGGGGGGTTAAGGCTGACAGGTTCTTGCTGAAGAGAGAGAGAAAGGTAACTTAAGAGGATGGAGCTATCGGAAATAATCAATGATTATCGTAATACGAGGGGATCAGTGCGGGATATTTTGGCATATCACCCTTACTGTGACTACCGAGGGCTACTATTTGAAGTAAATGATCCTTGACAGGATGATGTTTTTCCGACCTGCATGACGCTGGGGAGATAAGAACTCTCGGATACGGAGTAGTATTGAGGGAGTGTCTAATTAGGGCAATGAAGAGGGAATTCATTGTCGCTGCAGCCTGTCAGGTCATGATCCCAATCATACACCCTTGTCCTCTTATTTTTATCTTCTCTGTCTTTTTGACTTTCGATTCTTGTTGATCAACCTGATGAGAATGAGATAGACAGGCTATTTTTAGTTATTCTAACTACGGAGTACATCTCCTACCCGATTAGAATCAGCCGGCCCTCATCAGCATGAACGAATTATCGCGACAATAGGCTTTTCAGGCTGTTGATGGACGTATCAATCAATCAATCAATCAATCATCTCTTCAGTTATTCTTGCTTCGGACCCTTTCATTCTCGATCAGCATCGTACAGGTTAACTCGGCTGTAGGCTACGTCAACGGTTTTGTTTGTGGATTTCACCCTTCCTTCTCATCTCAGTGTGGATCCTGCAGTCTGCCTTGTCAGCTTAACATACACTCTTTCTCTTTCTCCATTCATTGATTGAAATTTACTGAGAAATTAATCCCGCATGATGATGCTATTCTTACCACTTTTTTGGTCAAGTGGAGGATAGATGGGGGAGACCCTTCTTGCTAGGCAGCATTCACAAGGGGGAATATTCCCAATACCTTCTAAAGTATCGTATCAACAACGTATTACTGCAATAGATATAACATTATCTCGAACATCACAACTACAACACATATCATGAGCACGCTCAAGAACTAATCAAATCCCATCAAGGAAAGCTCGTCAACTCAGTCATGCTCCTCCCTGACCTCGGGCGTAGAATGTAAACAACATAAACAGGGTACGTCTGCGTCGCGTGCATAGAGCGCTCCCGGTCCTGTCTTTCATGTATTGCATTTAGTGCCGCGGGCTTGAGGACGTCTTGCACTAGCTGAGTCACCTCGATACTGCTTCTCTGCAGCTCATTATCGCGCAGCTTACGGAATCGTGTCTCAACGTCATCGAGGAAGCTGTTGGGGGTTTCCCCATCTCCAACGTAAAGTGTGACTGTGCCGATCAGTTCGCGTGTCTGCTCTCTGGACCCGCGGTAGCGGAAGGTGGTAGGTCGGGTGGTGAGGCCGAAGCCTTGTATGGTGCCGTCTTCGGGTAGGAGATGAAGAACGTGGATCATGGCTCCAAAGTTGCCAATGACAAGGAGAACGGAAGGAGGGCCGGTGGAGCGGGTGAATATGTTTTTGAGATGGGAAAGCATGGGTTTGTGAGTTGAAGCATTTTACAATGGTCAAGTAACCTGGTGCTAAAGGGCAATGTTCTCTGGGGATGGTGATTGATGAATATCTATGGAGGTGATTGATCCCTTCTGGTAGATGTAGCCCAGTGCACCAGGCGGAGATTCCTCCAGTTAGAGACAAATTTGGAGGAGACAAGAATAAAGTAGCAAGGGAGGTTTCTCTATTGGAAAGCTAGGCAGACAGTTTTTACTGTAGTATACAATAGTAGATTAGGCGACTCTACTAAAACCAATAAAACTTACTGGAAGAGGGGATTCCCGGGTCCTTATTGTACTGAACCAATATATAATAGACCCCCCAGCATCGTTAGAAACTAAACTAAAATCCATTAAATTGACAGGTAGTTTTTCTTTTTCAATTTTCTTTTTCAGAGGCAGACTGTCTTGCCTGAGGAATACTTGCTGTTGCACGTGCCCCGGGAATCAGGCATCGGGAATCTGGACGAATTTCTGCCTTGAACTTCCTTCTTGGACCGTCAGCTCAGTTTCATCATCATCCTTTTCGAGTTTCGATCTTCTTTCCTGTTTCACCCTTGTCTGTCTCTCTCGCAGTGTGTGTGTGTGTTGTGTCTGATTGAACCTGCATCCATCTGCCCTCGTCCCTGGTCAGCGGCTGAGGATCGTCCTCTGCCGGCATCTTCCCCGGCGCTTGTTGGCGCCCGAGAATGTGTGCAACGACTTTCCCCCTCCAGACCGACTGCGCGCCGCGAGGCTGAATCGCAAGGCCGTCTGCCTTACTCTCTC